TAATATATATATATATATAGTATACAATAATATACATATTATAGATATTTTTATATATATATATATATATATATATATATATATATATATATAGGTGTGTGTGTGTGTGTGTTTTCGCAAAAAAATATTTTCATTTCTTTAATCATGTGATAACCTATGTAACCTTGACATCGAAACACAAAAAGAGTAGAGAAGTTTTAAATGTTTAAATAGAATGTTCTAAATAAATCAAAGACAGCCTGAAGTTTAATATAAATCACTTGCGGTGTTTGTCATTCAAAGTTGTCTGAAGTTTCATATTTAAGGCTGTTATTGTAGTTTCAGGCTTAGTGAAACCCCAGAATTCTAACATTGAATAGTTCTTAAAACCTGACACTTGTGTTATTTCTAGAGTACCTTTAAGGCTGTTATTGTAGTTTCAGGCTTTATGGAACCCCCCAGAATTCTAACATTGAATAGTTCTTAAAACCTGGCACTTGTGTTATTTCTAGAGTACCTTTTATCACATATTAAATCATGAAATCTGGTACTGTTGCTGTTTCCAAAAGAAGCTGGAAAGCTAGTGGACTACTAATGGACTTCGCGGCTCATGAAGAATCTGGTCATGCTGATTTTTATAACAATCTGTATGACAAGTTTAACGAATTAGAGGAACTTCTGAATGTACTCTGTCATTAGAATCTGATTGTATGCATCATAGATTTTATTGTACATTTAGCGCACTCACAAGCATTAGTTTCTGTTAAGCGTTTTTTTTCAACTAACACTTAAAGATACTTGGGTAATTTCTATTTGTGAGTCGGTCAGTAACATTTGATGGGAGCCTCTTATTGGTTTAGGCCATAGCTCTATTTGTATACTAAATAAATAAATATATTTTCCTTGCAAGGATTGTATCATATGATAGCAAGAAACAATGGTAACTTACTCCTGATGTTAGTTCTTTAGTTTATCTGCCCTCGTGCTTGCATAAACAATCAAGATGTTTTAAGGAAGCATTTAATTTCCATGGAGATTATGTGGCTCTGTCTTTGAAAACTGTCACATTTTAACAGGCGGGGTTAAACGATAAAATGTTGCATAGTTTAATTAATAATTACACTTGGTATTTTACCTGTTCCAACAACTTTAGCATTACACTTGGTATTTTACCTGTTCCAACAACTTTAATATTACACTTGGTATTTTACCTGTTCCAACAACTTTAACATTACACTTGGTATTTTACCTGTTCCAACAACTTTAATATTACACTTGGTATTTTACCTGTTTCAACAACTTTAATATTACGCTTGGTATTTTACCTGTTCCAACAACTTTAACATTACACTTGATATTTTACCTGTTCCAACAACTTTTATTTTATGAGAGGCAAATGAGTCACCATCTGGTGGTTTTGAAGCAGGTTCCGAATTACCCATGATTCTCTGCGTTTTGTCAGAATGCACCTCCCTGTTGGCCCTGTTTTCGATTCGAGCTCTATTACCTTGTTTAAGCCATCTGAGAGATGGGGACCGAATTAAGACAGGTTTACCGCTAAATACCGCGTCCGTGATTGAAGAGAAGCTTTTTCTGGAAAAATCAAAATAGATTAACTATGATAAACATTCGCCTCTTTCAAATAAAAGAAAAAAACAAACAAATACAAAAAAACAAGTTTACTGGAAATTGATAAAGCCTATATCAGTAAGTATTCATTAAAAGTTGATGTTTCTGATACTGTGAGCCTCTGTCCACTTGCAACTTACAATAATCAATAATATGTAACATGTTGTTTAACTGTTCTTAACATTATTTATGCACTGTGAGCCTCCGTCCACTTGCAACTTACAATAATCAATAATATGTAACATGTTGTTTAACTGTTCTTAACATTATTTATGCACTGTGAGCCTCCGTCCACTTGCAACTTACAATAATCAATAAAATGTAACATGTTGTTTAACTGTTCTTAACATTATTTATGCACTGTGAGCCTCTGTCCACTTGCAACTTACAATAATCAATAATATGTAACATGTTGTTTAACTGTTCTTAACATTATTTATTCTTCAGTTATGTATTTTATCTTCAAAAACGGATATTCAGTAAGACCTAGAACTTTTATCCGTCATGAATTTACTTGTGCATTCAACATAAGTACTTGATGTCCAACAATAACATAATTAAGATTATTTTACAGTTGTCTAATGACTAATAATGTAAAGCAAAATAATCGTAATGACATACTTCATTTTATTCGTTCCACTGACCAATACATAAAATCATGTAAAATTATGTAACTTAATTCTCTTTCCACTATATCTGCTCAGTGGTTAGTATTATCAACCATCACATAACGTGATTGTTACCAGACCAGTGTTTGGTTAAATTACAATGAAACTTGGAAAACATTACAGATTTAAGTTTTTCTTCTCACTTACTTTTTTTCAGTAAGAATTTAAATGCAAATAATTCGTATAATTTGTAGTTAAACAAAAAGCTGCAAAATAGACTATCTGTCCACCATGAGTATTGAAAACCAATGTAAGTCTAGAGACATACCGCTGTGCCACTGTGGGGCTCTAACGTAAGCTGAATAAAAAAATTATCAATTTTAAATATGAAACAATTATCAATCTCAAATATGAAACAATTATCAATCTTAAATATGAAACAATTATCAATCTTAAATATGAAACAATTATCAATCTTAAAT